AACGAATTTCAGGCAACTGAGTAAAACTGAGAACTGGAGGAGTGTCCCTCCCCAGGGACAAGCACACCAATTGGTTGTCTAGTGCAAAAGAGCAATGAAGACAGCCTACAAGTAACACTATATGGACTCCACATGTTATTTTTTGGAATATATGTGTATATACAAATGCGTATATGCGTGCAATAACAACTGATGAAAAAAGGGAATATGAATTTGAAGGACAGCAGAGAGGGGTTCATGGGAGAGTCTGGAGGGAGTAAATGGAAATAGGGACTGTAGTTGCCTTAGTTAGGGTCATTGCTACTTCAATGAAACACCATGACCATAAAGCATGTTGAGGAGGAAAGTGTTTATTTGACTTAAACTTCCATATCACTGTTCATCACCAAAGGAATTCAGGCCAGGGGCTCTAGCAGGGCAGGAACCCGGGGGCAGAAACTGATGGAGAAGCCATGGAATGTGCTACTTACTAGATTCCTTTCCTTGGTTTGCTCAGCTTGCTTTTTTATATAACCCAGGACTTACAGCCTAGGGATGGAACCACCCAGAATGGGCTGGACCCTCCCCCACCAATCATAGGGGGAGGCATTCTCTCTCTCTCTCTCTCTCTCTCTCTCTCTCTCTCTCTCTGTTTTTCTCTTTCTCTCTCTCTAAATTTATTTAGTTGTATTTTATGTACATTGGTGTTTTGCCTGCATGTATGTCTGTGTGCGGGTCTTAGATCAACTAGAGCAGGAGTTACAGACAGTTGTTCGCTGCCATGTGGGTGTTGGGATTTGAACCCACATCTTCTGGACTAGCAGCCAGTGCTCTTAACTGCTGAACTGTCCCTCCAGCCCTATAGGCATTTTCTCATTTGACATTCCTTCCTTTTGGATAACTCCAGTCTGTGTCAAGCTTACAAAAAAACCAGCCAGCACAGTAATTAAAATACAATATCAAAAAAGTGCATGGTTGACAAAATATTCAGGGCCAGTGTTTTGTGGGCATGACTTTTCCCTAGCCCAGAATGAGACAGAGGCTTTCATCAAAGTGGGGGTGGGAATTCAGAAAAAGAAAAGAAAAAGGTCAGGTGTGGTGGCTGTCCTGGACCAGAAAAATAAAGGCTAACCCATCTACCCAGTTTTTGATAAACTAAACTAAACTTTAAATAGCTTACACTACTTTTGCTTTGCTTGAATGTTGCTTGTCTCTATTCAGTCCATCCTCTTAGCAAGTAATCATTAAATACCTTGTATGCCCAAGGCACTAGGGTAGAGACAGTGTTTTGTTTTGTTTGTATAAATCTCTCTTTTAACAGCAGGGATTTTTAGGAGCCCATGAGTCTAAAGCATCCTAGGCAAACACTCTTTTCTACTACTGTGCTTCTGCCTTTAACTACCCTGTTAAGTCCCTTACAATGGAGTAATCATAAAAATAAAAGGAAGTGCATTCCAGTGAGTGGCACCCAGGAGCTGCTTAGTACTGTCAAGGTCCATTTCCTGAACTTCATTTGGGGAGTCAGCATCAGTGTAAGAGAGCAGGAAAATTGTAGAATGCTTCGGGTGCGGGATGAGGAGAGCTGTAAATGAATTGGGTCACCATATGAGTTCAGTTTGTTTTGAGACATGGACTGCCAAAGCTGGCCACCCTCCTGCCTCCATTTCCTGGGTTTATAAACTTTCATTATTACATCCAGCACGAACAGAGGTTTTCCCTGGAGTGGACATGTGAGACAGACAGTGGAAAAAGTGGAGACTTCTAGATCACAAGTGAGGATGGAGAAGAAAAAGTTCTGAATGACAGATTACTTGCTATCTTTGACATTTTGGATGCTGCAACAAAAATACTACCCTAAGCCAGTATGATGGTTTAGCCAGTAAAGGTGTCTGTGACCAAACCTGATGACTTGAGTTCAATGCCCAGAACCCATCTGGTAGAAGGAAGCAGTTGACTCCTGAAAGTTGTCTCCTGACTTGCACACATACTGTGATAATTCCATTCCTCTGTATCTAAGTAATTGCCATGACAACCTATCCAGCAGATATCTAAAGTCTGAGACATACAAGAGAAACACAGAGTTGGTCATCTGGTAAGGAATGGCTTCTGAGGTGGTCATCTTTTTATCTTGACCTTACCATGCACATTAGGAGAGGCACAGGAATTCTTTTAGAACTCGCTGCAAAGTATTTATTAATGAGTTTGTTCAATTTCGGCAGACAAAACAGGGTTTCAAACTACAGCCCTTTCATTCCTGGCTGCTCAGCCCCAAAATAACCACACAGAAACTGTATTAATTAAACCACTGCTTAGCCAATTAGCTCTAGCTTCTTATTGGCCAACTCTTATACCTTAATTTAACCCATTTCGATTAACCACGTTGCTGTGGCTTACCGGGCAAAATTCTGTCCTGTGTATGCCTCTGGCATGGGCTACGTGGCTTCTCTCTGACTCTGCCTTCTTTCTCACAGCATTCAGTTTAGTCCTGTCCCCTCCCACTCGTGTAGCTCTGTTCTGCCCTGCAGATTCTTTATTAACCAATGGTATTCACAGCATACAGAGGGGAATCCCACATCACAGCCCAGGCTGGCCTCAAACTTGATACAATCTTCTGACCTCAAGTTCCCATGAGTGCTTTGTTTGATTATTGTTATTGTTTTATTATTTTGAGGCATCACACCAGCTCCCTAATAACCCTTTATACAAAAAGTCTAGATTTTTTGCCTGGGGGCTCCTGAAATAAGACCCCTCCCCAAGGAGGGTCAAGAAAGCCTGACAAACGGTAATCCCTCCCCAGGGAAGGTCAAGACCACTCCCACAGGCTACTTAAACTGCCCCCCAGAGAATGAATATATGGTCCCTGGGTATCATGTGGTCTCCTCTTTCCTCTCTTCCCTCTCCATGCTTTCCTGAATTCACCTGGGAGCGTAGCATTAAACATGGGTGTCTTTTAATTTGGTTTAATTTGGTCTGATTGGAACTATTTGCGTTGGCGGAGAGACTTGTCTTATGAAATACCTAACAGGTCTCATTACATAGCCCTGGCTGACTTGGAACTTACTGTGTAGACCATGTTGGCCTTGAACTCACAGAGATCCATTGCTTGTCTCTGCCTTTCCAGTGTTGGGTTAAAGGTGTACACTGTGAAGCTTGGCTGATTCTTTTATTCTTTTATTTTTAATTACATGTATGTGTCTGTGTGTGGGTACGTGAGTGCAGATGTCCACAGAGAACTGGGGTGTCACACATCGCTGGAGCTGGAGTAACAGGTGGTCGAGAGCCATCTGATGTGGGTGCTGGGAATTGAATTCGGTTCCTCTGAAAGAGCAGTAGGTGTGCTTACCACAGAGCCATCTCTCCAGCACTGATTATTTTAATGTTTAATATTTAATTTTTTTTTAAAGAGAGTGTCTTGCTATGTAGGCCTGACTGGCCTGGAACCTGCTGTGTAGTCAAGACTGCTGAGACAGAGCATGGCTTTGAACTCTGGATCTTTCTGCCTGAATCTTCTCAGGGCTGGGATTCTAGGCTTTCATCCCCACACCTTACTGCAACAAGTACTATTTGCATATCTGTAGGTTATGAAGTGCTGTGTCACGCGCGCTTAAATCATGTTACCAGAAATACTCACATACTTGCTAATTTGTAGGGGGTGGGTTATCTTTTAATAAGAGCTTCATGATTTAATCATGTCCCAGAGGCCCTATTTCATAATACCATTACAATTTCCACATATTTATTTGCGGGAAACCCTCTCTGAGGTAAGCACCTGTATATATGCCAAATTTCCCTCAGTACAGTTAGTGTAAATCACTACAAAACGATCCCGTGACAGGTAGGCGGTAACGGCATCTTCCCCTGCTACGTTCTGGAGAATGTCTCTAAAGGACTGTGAGCAGCTTCACTAAGGCACTTAGGATCTTAGAGCTGGAATTTGTAGACGAAGAACCCGAAGTCCTGTCCCAATTTCCCAGAATTTGTCACATAAACAATTTAAATAAGTTAGGAAATGGTCAGCACTCAGGAAAGTGACACAGAAGGCGCAGCACACTTTCAAGGCCAGAATGCTCACGTTTGGCAACATCCTCGAAGACAGTGGGAGAGTCTAACAGACAATTTCAGGTGGAGAGGAACTGGCGAGGCAGAGGAAAGCGGCTAACCAGGCTAAACAGGGAGGCCCCATCTAAAAATACAAAACAAAAACCAAACCAAAAACTCAAAATATTCAAAAAAGGAGCAAATACACTAACAGAGACATATAAGCTGGTGAGGAGGAATAAAAATTCTTTTCCAGTTTGTTTTAGGTATTTCAAGTCTAAAGTAATATCTCACAAATATATTTTAAATTTGGTTTTTCAAGACAGGGTTTCTTTGAAGCTTTGAAGACTGTCCTGAAATTAGCTCTTGTAGACCAGGCTGGCCTGGAACTCAGATATCCTCCTGCCTCTGCCTCCCGAGTGCTGGGATTAAAGGCGTGTGTCATCACCGCCCGGCAATATATTTTTAAAGACGATAAAATTATACACGGTTCTGATTTTTACAAGGTCAACAGGAGTGAAAAAAATTTTGGAAGGCTTTTCAGTGCTGCCGAATAAACAGGAACCAGACAAACCCAAAGCGGGATTGAGTTCCTGAATTCTGCCTTCCGCAGAATCAGTTCTCTGCACTCATCTCCTAAAGCGTCGCTCCTGGGGACGGCGGGCGCAGGCGCCCCGAGGCGACTGCCCGGGCAGCCCGCGGGGACGCCGGGTCGCAGCTCGGCCGCCGCAGCTCGCCCCGCACGTGACAACTTCCCGGACCCTGCGCCTCAGCGCTCGCAGTGGGGGAAGAGTCCGAGCCACTCCCGAGCCGGCCCTCGTGACGTCACGAGCGCGAGTCCTCTCGCCGGCCAATCAGAAGGCCGGATAGCAGGGAAGCCCCGGCCGGAGGGGGCCGCCAGGGCGCGTGCGCACGGGCTCCGCGTGGCTATATAAACATGGCTGGCAGCGCGGCGCCGCGGCCAGTGCGGAGCGCGTGTGGGGCGCTGGTGGACGCCGCGGGTCTGTAGGGCTTTGAAATTTTTGGCGGGGAAGCGCTGAGTAAAAGCTCCCCGGGTGGGAACTGAAGTGACGGCCCGAGGGAGCTGCCCGTCCGGGCGCTTCTGCGGCGGGACCGGGGCTGAGGCGCGCACGTGTGGGCGCCGCTGGCGGAGGGAGTGCCCGGTGGGGTCGCCGCCGGCCGGGCCAGGAGAGCGCTTGTGCCCCGCGATGCTGCGGCGCCCGGACTGCGCCCGACTGTGTTGCCGCCTGCCCCGGTTCGCCTCGCCTCAGCTCCGGAAAGGGCAGCGCCGCTGCCGCTGAGTCCCCGAGGGCATGCCAGCGGGCCTTACGGAGCCGCCGGGCGCCGCTGCTCCGGTGGTCGCGAGCGCCTCGGGGACCGTGAGCATGGCCCCCGCCGCCGCGCTGCCCGTGCGGGTGGAGAGCACCCCGGGGGCCCTGGGTCCTGTGACTAAGGCTCCTCCTGGCAGTGTCTGCGTGGAGTCCGTGGCGCCCCAGCCCCTGCCATCCCCAGTGGGGACGCTAGTGACCAAAGTGGTTCCTGTCACGGCTCTTCCTAAACTCGGCAGCCCCAGGCTGCCAGCTCCTCAGATAGTCACCGTGAAAACTCCGGGCACCACGACGATCCAGCTGCCTGCTAATTTGCAGCTGCCTCCAGGTATGTTTATCACCTCTGCTCGCCGGAGGTGACTCGGGGACCGGGCAGCCCCCCTGTATCTCCGAGGAACTTCCTAAGGTTGATGTTGCGTGTGGGCGGTGCTTTGGGCTTAGCATTCACGCAACCTCTAGGTTCATCTCTGCGTTTGGTATTGAGGAAAACAATCTTTTCACCCTGTGGACACAGACTGGCAGACGCACGTTCTAGACTGCCCTGGAGGTGTTGCCAGGCACCCCAATGGGGACGTAGGGACTAGCTGGAGTTAATTTTCTTGTGGAGAAAGGTCCAGTAAAAAGATGACTTTTTAAAAGAAAAGATTTTGAAACTTAAGACGAAGGGGTTTCTTAATTTAAGCAAGTTAGAATAAGTTTACTGCAAAAGTGATCCCCCCGCCCTCCCGCCCCCCCCCCCCCCCCCCTGCCGCCGCTTTGAGACAGGATCTCTCTTATTCCGGGCTGGCTTTGAGCCTTCCCAGTGTAGCGAGGATGACCTTGAACTCCTGTTGTCTCCTTCCAAGAGGTGGGATTACTTGTGCGTGCCACAGCATCTGACGGAATGCTGCTTTCTACTTCTTCTTAGTGTGCAAAAGAGTCCTTCTAGTAGGGAACAAGTGCCCGGGTTGACAAATCAGAAACCTGCAACTGTTGTATTTGATACGATGTGAGAGTGTTAATGAGTCTTTGGCTGCTTTTTCTCCACTGGAGACTTGAGTTGGGCTGTTTTGCTTTGTGATATTTTACATATTGTAAATATCTGACTGTGTTGTCATGTGTTCCTTGATTGAAAAATATCTTGAATTCGTCTTCCATTAATTTTGCTAAGCAGAAAGTGGAAATGGAATATATTGGTAGTTAGCAATAAAAAACTGTCAAGAGAACTACAGTTAAGCCTAGCGGTGGTGGCACACCTTTAATCCCAGCACTCCGGCGGCACAGAGGCACGTGTATCTCTGAGTTCGAGGACAGCCGGGAGTACAGAGCGAGTTCTAGGACTACCAGGGCTACACAGAGAAATCCTGTCTCAACACCCCCCCCCCCCCCCAGAAAGAGAACGTTGGTTTGGATGGTAAAGAAGTGGAAACAAACATTAATAGAAAAAATTTCTTTAGTATCCACTAGCAAAAGGAGAGGCTCCTTTTTTTTTTTTTTTTTTTGTGGGGAGAGGGAGTGTGTATAATAGTTTTATGTCAACTTCACACAAACTGAAATCATCCGAGAGGAGGAAGCCTCAACCACGAAAATGCCTTCTTTCAGAAGATAGGGCTGTAAGCAGGCCTGTAGGGCACACTCTTAATTAGTGATTGCTGGGAGAGTGATTGTGGGTGGTACCATCTCAGGCATGGTGGCCTGGGGTTCAGTAAGAATGCAGATTGAGCAAGCCACGGGGAGCAAGCTAATAATAATAAGCCTCTCCGGAACCTCCGTGGCCTCTGCATCAGCTCCTGCCTCCAGGTTCCTGCCCTGCTTGAGTTCCTGTCCTCAGTGATTTTGATGAAAAACTTTATATGAAACTGAGTGAAGTGAAGCCTTTCCTCTCTAGGGTGCTTTGGTCCTGGTGTTTCACGGTAGCAATGGTATTCCTAATTAAGACTGGGAGTGAATACTGTGTTTGTTTATGGACATCCTGAGCACATTATGTTCCGCACATTTCACACACTCTGAGTACAAGTGGAGTACACAGGGTACCTCCACAACAGTAATCATTGGATACAGTGTTTGCCAGTTGTAAATTGTTACCCTGCCTACAGTCTTACAAGGTGGTGGGGAATGTATTTGAATGAAATTACCTGCTGGTTTGTTACAATATACATTCTTGCCTAGTCATTGATTTTTTTTTTTTTTTTCAGAAACGGTCAAAAATAGAAAATTGTCAAGAGGGAAAGCTTGTTGCTTAGTTGTAGCAAGTTATTAACTGAGGGCTTGCCATGGCAGTCACCACATCTATTCATTCATTCATTCATTCATTCATTTCTAAACAGGGTTTCTCTGTAGCTTTGGAGCCTGTCCTGGAACTCACTCCAGGCTGGCCTTGAACTCACAGAGATCCACCTGTCTCTGCCTCCCAAGTGCTGGGATTAAAGGTGTGCACCACCACCACCTGGCATCATGGTAGTCACTTTTAATACATTATTTATATTTTTATTCTCTCATAGTGGGAAAAGAGGTCTGTAAGGGTAGATAATTCCCCAATGCCAGGCAAGTAACTCACTGAAGCCAATGGGACTTTGAGTCCATGTCTATTTAGCTATACCCTGTATGCCTGGCTGTGTTTGCCATATGAGTGTGTAAAGTATATTTCGTGGAGCGTCAGTGCTGAAAGGTAACACAGATTTGTTGTAAAACTTCTCTTTACTTTTTTTTAAAACTTGTGTATACAGTGTTCTGCCTGCATGTATGCTTGCACACTAGAAGTGGGCACCAGATCTCATTACAGATGAATTCTGGGAACTGAATTCAGGACCTCTGGAAGAGCAGCCAGTGCTCCTAACATCTGAGCCATTTCTCCAGCCCCCAAACTTTTATTTTCTAAATCAAGAAACTCAAACTGAAATGTCCTTGAGTTTCATTATAGCAAAATAAGATCACAGCCCAAGTCTTATAGGAGTTGCTTGGGGGAATTTCTACTGGTGTGTAGCAGAAGAGCCAATAGATGAAATGACAGTGATTTATTGTGGTTTATAAATTCTATACAATTCAGATGTGCTGATAATTAACATTTACTCAAGAATGTTTATGTCAGTTCTTAATTTACCAAGATACATGCCTTTGAGTACTTATTTTGGATTTTCCCTTGAGTAGAACTTGTTTTTAAAAATACTTAAACATATGAATATTTGTTCAGGTCAGAGGGTGCACAACCCTGCAATTTGAGCACTTGTGAGTTCAAAGACCATGTTCAGGCCTGTAACCCAGTGACGAGGCTGAGGCAGGAGGATTGCCTCAGGTTTGAGGCCACCCTGGCCTAGTGTGAGACCCTGTGTCAAAGCTAGGAACTAGGTAAATGACTTGACTGCTAAATGCACTAGCTTAAAATATAGTGTTATTTTATTTATCTTTTAATAAACAAAGCTTGTCTGAAGCTCAGAGGGTAAAACTAAGCCACTAGAGGCCAGGCAGTGGTACCACACACCTTTAATCCCAGTACTAGGGAGTCACATGTCTTTAATCCCAGCACTAAAGGGGAATTTAAGTCTGTAGTCGCCCAGCATTGGTAAAGGTGAGACTTCTATAGCGGCATGACTGTTTTGCTTTTCTGATCTTCACCTTGAACCCCAATATCTGTCTCTGGATTTTTATTACTCGTGCTACAAACAAAGCCTGAATTTGTTCCCTTAACACAGTGGTTCTCAACCCTCCTAATGCTGAGACCCTGTAATATAATTCTCATGTTGTGGCCTACAACCATTAAATTGTTTCATTGCTACTTCATAACTAATTTTGCTTCTGTTATGAATCATACCACTATGCACGATATCTGATATGTAACCCCTGTGAAAGGGTTGTTCCATTCCCATAGGGTCATAGTAGTTTGAGAACCACTGCCTTAATAGAACCCATGCAAAAAGCTGGATGCAATGGTATACATCTTTAATCCCTGCTATCCTAAAGTGAGATCAGAGACATTGCCTCAAAACAAGGAGGAAAGGGAGAAATGACTTCTCGAAAGTTATCCTCTGCCTTTTATGTACATGTTCCTCTCTACACGAAATAAATAAATCTTAAACAGAAATGTGTTTAAACATGTACAACTACAGGTTCTTTAAGGAATAGGGTCTAAAAATAAAAGATAAGGGGGTATTTATGGGGAAATAAAAGGTTTCTGTCTAGCCGGGCTGTGGTGGTGCACGCCTTTAATCCCAGCACTCGGGAGGCAGAGGCAGGCGGATCTCTGTGAGTTCAAGACCAGCCTGGTCTACAAGAGCTAGTTCCAGGACAGGCTCCAAAACCACAGAGAAACCCTGTCTCGAAAAAGCAAAACAAAACAAAACAAAACAAAAGGTTTCTGTCTTCAATCTTCTTTAGTGAACATGTAGGACTTTTAGGTCCAATTGTGGTCATTTCTTGAGTCAGTTTAAAGTGTAGTGCCATGGTTCATTTTTCTTTGTATATCTGTAGTTATCCTTCCAGAGAAGGTTACAGCAGTCATGTTTGCCCTAGTATGTGTTCCCAGTCTTCCTACTATGGTGGTACTATTGCACAACAAAGTATTACTGCTTGCTTTTGCTCTAGTTCTGGCCATCCTAAACCTTTCTGCAGCCATAATGCACTCTGTAGTCCTGGCTGACTTTAGTGTCCTTAGTTTTAGGAGTACATGCATTCTGGAATTACAGGTGTAAACTACTAATCTTAGCTACCCGAGTTGTGCGTGTGTATAGATGAATATAAAAAATTTTAAAGTGTTGGGTTGTGCTGGGGATTGAATACAGGACCTTGTGTGTGCTAAGCAAGTGGTCTACTTCTGAGCATCCCCAGCCTCCATAATTTTTAAATACCAGCTTCTAGACTGGGCGTGATGCTGCGTTCCTTTAATCCGAGCACTCAGGAGCCAGAGTTAGGCAATTCTCTTAGTTTGAGACCATCTTAGTCTACATAGTGTATTCCAGGATAGCTGTGCCATGTAGAGAGACATTGTATTAAAAAAAAAAACAAATAGTAATAGTAATAATACCAGCCTCATTGAAATATAATTTTTGTAATTATATTTCAAAATTGGAACCTATTGCTGGGCACTAGTGGTGTATGTTTTTAATACTAGCACTCAGCAGGCAGAGGCAGGTGGAATTATGTGAGTTCGAGGCCAACCTGGTCTACAGAGTGAGTTCTAGGACAGCTAGAGCTACAGAGCTACCCTGTCTCAAAGCAAAAACAACAAAACAAACAAAGGAACCTATTTTCAGTGAAGGTTGAAAATTTTGATTTAGCCACCTAAGAAGTGCTGTCTTTTTGAAAGAAAATATATGTATGCCTTCTCTATTCTGTGATACCATTTTTTTTTTTTTA